CGCCATCTCCACGTAGAGCTCCCTCTCAGTCATCTTCTTGAGAGCTGGAAGTTGGCACCCAACGGGCTTGAAATGACGCCACATGGCCGCCATGCCCTCGGAGTCATCCGTGATTGGATGATCCTTGGTGTGCTTGAATTTCTAATGGAAGGGCCGACTACCCGTCGAGCCACCACTCCCGTTGGACGCCGATGGCCGCGACTCAACGGCGCGACCTCCCCCGTCATCTCTCTGCCTCATGGAGGCGGGCTGGACAGACTGCTCGGGTCCTTGGTCATCAGTGGGCTGCTGGGTTTTGTCTGAGCTCACAGAGATCGCTCCCACCAAATTGTGAGGGGGGTCTGGCTGAGGATCCGTCACCTGCTCAACCTCCTCGTCGCGGAGTTGTGGTACGGAAGCAGAAGCTGTGGCAAGCGCGGCCTCGAGGGCCTCCTTGACGCTCCCGGAGCGTACCCTGGAGCTGCTAGGACCAGCCGGGGCTTTCCCGGCTCTTTAACGGAAGGTTGGCTTGCGAGACATCACAGAACTCGAGCTTGCTGAACTAGATGAAGGCGGAACAGAACGGAGAGGAAGAACTCCAGCTTCCGGCAAAACAAGTCAAAGCATGTCATTCAACAAGAATCGTTATGCTAAAAACATTAAAAAATGAGGAACCAAGAAACCTACCGGGTGCGACAATCGGAGCTGGGGCTGGTGATGAGAGAACTCGTCGAACTCGTTCTCGCGTGAGCGTGCTCCAGATAACTTCTCCTCGTCTGTACAACTCTAGCCGGTGCTCGATATCGGGATCCTTGGGTGCTCTAGTCAGTTGGCCTGATAGACAAAAAAGTAAAGGATCAGAAAACTCGACGAGCATACTAAAGGAAACATAGCTAACGAGCACTCGAGCCTAGCTAAACAACCGTTGCCCGCAAACTCGACTGGCAGCCGAGAGAAATCAAAGTCCCCAACGGACGCCTCGTTAACCCAGAACTTAAACCCGGTTTTCTCCCAACCAGAGTCCTTCTCCGGACTCTCCTCAATGAACCGCCGGTTCGACCTCAGGGACGCGTAGAAAGTCCCGGGACGGCGGGCGTTGTACTTGACAGAGACGAACGCTCTCAAGTTCGAGTAGCAGAACATGACGTTCTCCTCTTTGGCCCGCACGGCACATCCGATGATGGCCCAAACCAAGTTCGGACACATCTGAGGAAAAGCCAGCCGCAAGTCCGCCAACACCTCGAGGACGAACCAAGGGATTGGGAAAAACAGCCTGCAATCTCGGAAATATGTTGCGTATGCGCAACAAAAACCCGGCTTCACATTCGCTGGAGTCTCCGTCGGCGTCGGAACGACCAATTCTACCCCGTCGGGGATTTCGCATTCTCGACGGAAGTCGTCAAGAACTTTCTGGTCGATCTTGGAAGGACCTACGGTGGTCCTCCCGGATTTCTCTCCCTCAATTTTCACTGTAGCCGACATCGGAAAAGAAAAGAGGAAGAATGTGGCAAACGCTAAACCAAGAAAACTAAAAAGATGAAAGTCGAAGCTTTTCTAAAGGAAAACTCGGCAAACAGTTTCTGAAAACTACGGAAAACGAAAGTTGTAGAAAATAAAAAGAAAGAAAGAGAGGAGGTTACCTTTAATCGACGAACTGGTGCGGTTAATGAAGGAGTGGAGAAGGTCGAAGATCGCGGAGAATCTGGCCACGCGCCAATCTCGACCATCCGATCTCCCGATCTCAACCATCGAATATTCGACTTCGACGATTTGACGCGCTGATCAGTTCGATCGATCAAGGCCGTCAGATCGACTTCCTCTCTCCCCATCCGGACCGTCCACGTCGTCAAGCTTCAGCGCGAATCTTCTCGAGGGATGCACCTTGCCCCGGAAAGCTCGATTGCCGAAACAGAAAAGTAAATAATAATATTTACTTCAAATCTCGACCGTCCACCTGGACGAGATTATAACAGATTTATCTCGACACGCCAAGTTACGGTCTCGAGGTTGATTCTCGACCGCATGATCAATAAACTGTTCACCTTTCCAGGATCTGAACCGTCAATCTCGAATGATTGTCTGACTCCATGACGTCAGCATAATAAAACACCAAATCTTTAAAAAAGTCCCATCTTGCCGCCCATTAAAGCTCGAGCTCGCTCTCGTTAATGGGCTGGGGGGCAAATTGTTGAAGCTGGATTTGACACCCCAAATTCGGCCCACTCGAGCCCATTGGGCAGGTCTATACTAAGCCAAAGTAGCTGGGCTTCAACCCTACGGCCCAGGCCCATTCACCTTTCAACAATCTAATCCTAAGCAACAAGACGTTCTGATAGGCGAGGTCGAGCTCTAGCTCGACCAAATCCCGAGAAACAAGGAAGGATCCGAGCCAAGTCAGAGAATATTCCCACCAGTTCAAACGAGTCCGAAGATCGCGGAGGAAGTTGCTGCACGTATCGAGATATCCGGCTGAGGCTGCTGTACGTGGCAGAGATACGCGCTGGAGCTCGATGCTCGACGAGGCAAGCTATATCAAGGAGGAGAATGCCTTAGTTCGGGAGATGGGGGGGCTTGATCTTTTTACACACTTTTTACATTTGAAAACATTGTAACCGCTCCCAGAGCTCTTTTCAGTTCACCTTCTTTATTGAAATTCTTGTAACCGTTTCATTCGACCAGTTAATACAAAGTCTTTATTTCAGTTAGTGCTAGCTTATATTGTCAATCTGTCCGAGAGAATCTAGCCCTCAATTCTTCTAAGTTTCTTTCCTTACAAAAACACATAAATTTCTGAGTGTGGATTTCTGCATCCACAATTATGCTTAAATATATATACAGTTTTAGTGTTTACATTAACAAACATTTTTTATATTTTTGTGTCTTTTGAAATTTTTTATTTTCTCTAGCATTTACATTAATAAATAATTGCAAATATAAAAGTTATATTAAATAATAATTAAAAATTTATAATATATTTTGAATATTATCTATATTATACTTTCTTTTTCTCCTTACACAATATAATCTTGCCAATATATATATATATATATCTATATATATTAAGTATTTTTTTCCTTGATCTATTGCTAATTAAACCATATTTACTTATCTTAAGAACGGGTAGATGGTTGGTCCACACATTTCAACCCCTTTACCACTTTTAGGACATATAAAGATTTTTACAAAAATATAAATTATCTAACCACTAAATTAAAATTAGAGTGTAATCGAGGTTAACAAAATATATGCACGCCAAATTTGCATGCAAATTTGACTTTTACACAATTAATATTTATATATACACGTACATTTGTAAGAAAATCGTAGTATGGCTTTTATGTGTTAAAAGTAAATAACAAAGTATATGTTTTGTAATACATATTTTTATAATGTATGGTTGATTTTCAAAAACAAAAAATAAATATGTATATTTATGCATTTAGGTATGAGTTAGAAATAAGTGAATTGTAATATTTAGGTGTTGGTAAGTTTTTTTATTTATATTTTCTGCAAATATTATGTTTTTATACTATGCAGTTATTGGTGTTTAACAACAATCACGAAAATTGTTTCTATCTTTTTGTATTTTATCAAAATTTCTTATTTTCTGCGTTTTATGATATATGGTTTCTCAATAAAAATATAATAAATATTTATCATCAAATTTGTGAAAATATATTTTATAAAATTCTCCGGTAGCTCTTCGCTTATCTCTTCATCAAAATTTTTAATAATCCGTAATCACTCGCTTCCTCAAACTCTCTGTAATATAATATATTAAGCCAATTAGATCTAAACTTATTTATGTATGATTTAAGGTGTAAAATAATATGTTTAATATATTGATTTTTATATTAAAAGTTAAGAGTTGATGTTTTCCTAACTTTAATATATTTGTTAATACAAAATATAATGAATCACAACATATACAAAAAATTTGATTCATGAAATAATGTTTTAACATGTTTGAAAAATATATGCGTGAAAGAATTAATATGTGTAATCAAATATTTTCAAATATTTGAAATAAAAAATAAAATCAATCAAAACTATTCTTATTTTTTTTTCTCTTCTTTGACTCATACTTTTTTTTAATAATATATTTAAAATTAAGATAATTTCAAATGTATTTTTTCTCTAAAATATAAGTGGACTTCTCCCCAACCTATTTCTATTTTACCGAAAAAGAAAGTTTATTATTTTTTCCTCTATAATAAAAAAAAGTAACAACTTTTCTTTTTTTTCTAAATTAGAACATCTAAAATAAAGGTGAGTTTGATATGCTCTAAATCAAAAATATAACCTGAGATTTGTATATAAAACCAAAATCGTAAATATTCGTTTTTACTTTTATTTCTACTTTTATATGCATGAAAGAATTATTATGTGTAATCAAAATATTTTTAAATATTTGAAATAAAACATAAAATCGATCAAAACCATTCTTATTTTTTTTTATCTTCTTTGACTTACATTATTTTAACATTTAATAATATATTTAAAATTAATTTTATCACAAATGTGTTTTTTTCTCTAAAATATAAGTGGACTTCTCCCCAACCTATTTCTATTTAACCGAAAAAAGAAAGGTTATTATTTTTTCCTCTATAATTAAAAAAAAGTAACAACCTTTCATTTTTCTCTAAATTAGAATATTTAAAATAAAGGTGAGTTGGATATGCATTAAATCGAAAATATAAACTGAGATTTGTATATAAAACCAAAGTCGTAAAGATTCGTTTTTTTTATACTTCTACTTTTTATTCATATATACAATATTATTATAAAAAATGTTGGTTAAGAGGATATTTATAATTTATTTCTTACTATGTTTATTTTGTTTGTTTCATTTATAATTTCAAATTTTTGCTATATAATGAAAATTTATTCACAAATGCTATAAACCTTTTCTCTTATTTAAAAATAAGATTTATTTAGTTTTAACTTAACCAATTAAAAAATTTCATTTATTTTAGGAAATTTGACATGTCATATTTATGACATGACATTGTTTTATACTAATTTTTTCTTTAGGTGTTGATACATAGGATTTCTTTAGTAAACATGCTTTTCAAATAATAGCGAGGATTAACTGTTTAAAAGTCTGTTTTGCCGCTTAAAGACAAGAGCTTTTATGAAAATATACTAATTAAGTTTCTGTCTGAGATCGATTTCTGGTGCCAAGTGTTGAGAAATGTTTGAACGATCCAACGTAAGTGAAAAGGCGGTATTGAACAGAAGGAAAGACAAGGTTTATTTATTACAGCGGCGGTTTGATGAAACAGTAAAATACGACAAACACATGCATGCATAAAGATAAAGATTAAAGAAGGACAGAGGACAAACCAAACGGCAACAACGTAATTAAGAAACATGCACACACACATATATGTGTATTACGCATTCGAAGCTTGAGTGAGGTCAATGACCAGGTGCGTATGTGCCTTGGAAAGACCTGGGTGGAGGCGGAGGATATTTCGGCCTTCGGGATTTAGGGTTAGGTAACTTACAGTTGGGGAAGTTTTTTCGAGTACATGGCGGAAGTGGAAAAGGCGGAAACGACGGAATTTTTGGTCTAGGCCGAGGAAAAGGCAGAGGAAAAGGAATGCCCCTTTGATCCGGTTGGTAAGTCTCTCCTGCACCTGCACCACCCAAAAATCATTACATTATATTACAGTGCCATTAGTCAAGGTTCGATAATTTTAATGCTCTTTTGACAATTCAAATGCGGATGAATTCCAAAACTCAAACCAAAATCATGATTCATGACCCCTGCATTAAAAACACCTAACTAGTAACGTAAAATAATACTAATGACGTCGGAACATCCAACAGACGAAAAGACTCACTTTGTTTCTGGGCCTCCTTTTGTGCGCCAAGGGCTTTATCCATATGCGGAAACACAAGAAGAAGAAGGAGAAAGAGAACCATTGAAGAGACCATGGAAGATGTCATCTAAACTATTATTCCTTTTTTATTTTGCTTATTAGTGTCACTCATGCTTGTGCATTTATATAGGCTTAGGCTAGAGAGATTGGCAATTAAAGAAATTTAAAGATATAGTGGATAATATAGAAAGGCTAAGAGACAAAGAAGAAGAAGGAATATGTGGATAGTTTAGCGTCTTAGTGAGAGACTTAAACTTATAGCCATCGACGACTCAGTTGTGTAATTTATGAGTCTTGAAGTTTTGGCAGTATTGACAGTTCAACAAAAGGGGTTTTGGTAGTATCATTCAAGTGCATTGCATTGGATGATTCTTTTCGTACTACTTATGTTTTTACAAATTTCTGTATTCTATATTTACTAGTTTTTTTAATACCACTAATTTATTATCTACTACGTATCTGTAAATTAACAATCAATTATCTTAAAAATGTATAAAATAAATTGAGAATATATTTGAATTGTACCAAAAAAAAATTTTAAACTCCTTAAAACTATAAATATTATTTACATTTATTATTTCTTATTCCAATCTATTTAATTAAGTAAAATGTCAATTTGTCTCAACTTTGGCAAGTATTGCATCAATTCATGAGATAAAGTTGATTTTTCCAAGTATTTTTTGTAAATTTTTTCTTCACTTTTTCAAAGAGTCATCGTGGATTTTGTGTATTTATTTACTCTTAACCTTTTACGAAAGCTCATTCTATATTCTTGAGAGATTCCTAGCATTTTCATGCATTGTTTCAAAATTCAATAAGGTCATTATAGTCTCATAACCTTCCCCTTAGCCAAATAAAAGCACTTGATTTGCAAAAGCCTAATTCACATGGTTACACTTAGTTGAATGTTAAAATAGTTGATTGATGTGAATGCTTGTGTAGGCTAGACTTGAGTATTTGTCATTGCTTGTGATGAATGTGGCTAGACTTTGGGAGTTTAACAAAATCATATGCATCTTAAATTTCTTAACTTAGATACTGATCTCACTTCTTCCTTTGACATTTTAGGCTATGAACTCCCATTTTCAAGCCTTGTCTCCTATTTGTTATTCTTGTTTGCTTGAGGACAAACAAAATGTAAGTTATGGGGTGTTGATAGACATCATATTTACTGCATTTTAGCTTGCATTTTAGCTTGCATTTTCATATGTGGTTATGTCTTTCTCTGGCATTCAGACACGTTTTAGGTCCTTTTTGCATTCATTGTAGAGTTAGTGAGTCTCATTCTAGGTATTGCATATTAGGTGTATTTTGAAGTGTATTTCACTCACAAATAATTTGAAGTTTTAATCTATGTTTGTATTTCTTGTTGTTGATCTTGTGTCTACTGCTTTTTGATTATGTTTTCCTTCATCTCTTTCTTAGCTTTTGATAGATCAACCATGATTTGTGAGTAGTCATTTCTGGGTTTAAGGATGGATTCGATTTAGGATGATCCAAGGCTTATAACTTGATGTTTAGGTAGATGATGTTAGATCCTTTACTATTTGGTGTTCTTCATGCTTGTCTTGCCCTCATCATGTGAGATTCAAATATTGGGTTTCTCTTGCATCAAAAGTGTTTGTTGAAATGCTTGAACCAACCTCTTAGTGGATTTACTTATCCTTACACATGAGATTGAATGACTAGGGATTTTATTGCTCTATAGGACTATTTCTTCATACTTGTTTGTGTCTTGATCACTAATGAGAATTAGATCTTCATTAGGTTGCTTTCAAAGGAATCATTGTTATGAGAATGAATTGATTTACATGTTTAGAGTTCTATGCTAAAAGATCATGCATTCATTGATTGTTTGAGCATCTTGTTTGAGGCCAAGGATCATTCTATGTCAATTATCCCATCCTATAACCCTGCTTGTTATAATTTGAAGTTGTCCTGTCTATTTTGCTCTGTTATTTCCCTTGTTCTTGTTAGACTGAAGCTGTCTTCACTTGCCTTAATCATTGCTCATTGTCCTATTTCAGTTTGATGATCATTTAGGGTATGAGAACATAAAACCAAAATCCTTTCCTGCTTGGCTTAGGTTACAAGATCATCATATATTCTCTATGATTCATCTTCCCTGTTTGGATTGATCCTTAAGTTCTACAATGACATGAGTAGGCTTGACTAATTGAAAGTACAAAAAAACCTATTATCAATAATATAATATTTTTAAGATATATACCCGAGAGAAACTACCACACGTCGTGATTGATGTCTTGGCCAAATCGTCATAGGATAAAATAGTCAAAGGTGAGGTGAGTCTGGGCATCCTCTGCATCTCACCCGCGGGAGGAATATATGTTTGCCATTAGTTCGCAAGACACCTGTTTAAGGTCTGTGTCTCGTCATTTGTGCGTTTATCAACATCAGGTCCAAAAAAATGGTGCTGTCTTCTGTCATTCTCAAACCTGGGGAGCACTTGTCTTGTCCTCCTTGTTTCTTATGCTAAAATGAGATATAGAAATGTCGTGATTGATTTCTTGGCCAAATCATCATAGGATAAAATATCAATTGTGAAGTTAGTATGCGCAGCCTCTGCTCTTCACATACAGAAGAACTTTATGTTTGCCATCAGTCAGCAAGACACCTGTCTAACCTCTGCATCTTGTCATCTGTGCGTTTATCAACATCAGGTCTAATAAAAAAGACTGTAAAGTCTTTTGTCATTCTCAAATATGAGATGCCTTTTTCTTGTCCTACAAACCAAGTTTATCAAATGACAATATAATATTTTGCGACATTTACCCAAGAGAAACTATAACACGTCGTGACTGTGTATCAGATATACTCATCCAAGCTAGAAACATGAGCATATGTGTAGCAAAATCGTGGACCACTTGGCTCCCTTGATTGGAGGTGATATGCTCAAATTAACCCTTAGAGCTACTCTCTCAAATTAAGAGATCACTGTAGTACTTAGGGATCGAATCCACAAGGACTTAAGACTATTACTCAACAGATTTTAGATTCAAATAAAGCTAAGCAGTCAATAATAAAATAAAACTAAGATAGTAGCAAAAATAATGAAATCAGAATGGGTTTGTAGGTTCTTAAAATCAATAAAGACAAGCGATAGACAATGGGAAATTCGCAGGTTGACATAAATCGCAGACTACAGACTGAAAGGAATATTTATTTAAAACCGTTCTAGAACTCGAAACTCTAATGTAAAACCAATCGACTTCCGTCGCAGAGATTAACTATGATCAGATTCTAGAATTCCAAATTCCTTTGCAAATTCTAACAACCTAAACATGCATTATAGACCAGGTTTGATATGTTCACAAAATCACTAATCCAAATTTCTTTGCAATCAGTTATTTTGCTCATCTAAGATAGTTCTGGTGATTAACAATGTTTTCACATCTATTAAACAACCTAAGATCTGATTTCTAGGTGATCAATCTTAAAACCAGTGTTAAAGCAATCTAGATGAAGAACCAATTGATTTATCTTTCTAGTTTTGTAGTTCTAACAATTCATTATCAACCTTTGAATAACCCTAAACCTAACTAGCAGATTACTCAGACATAGCAAGTGAAACACAAATCATGGCTGAATAAAATTGCATCAAGAAAATAGAGTAAAAGATGAAGGGGGTTCGAAATTCTTCTCTACAAAGATGAAGGAATATTTATTTAAAACCGTTCTAGAACTCGAAACGCTAATGTAAAACCAATCGACTTCCGTCGCAGAGATTAACTATGATCAGATTCTAGAATTCCAAATTCCTTTGCAAATTCTAACAACCTAAATATGCATTATAGACCAGGTTTGATATGTTCACAAAATCACTAATCCAAATTCTTTTGCAATCAGTTATTTTGCTTATCTAAGATAGTTCTGGTGATTAACAATGTTTTCACATCTATCAAACAACCTAAGATCTGATTTCTAGGTGATCAATCTTAAAACCAGTGTTAAAGCAATCTAGATGAAGAACCAATTGATTTATCTTTCCAGTTTTGTAGTTCTAACAATTCATTATCAACTTTTGAATAACCCTAAACCTAACTAGCAGATTACTCAGACATAGCAAGTGAAACACAAATCATGGCTGAATAAAATTGCATCAAGAAAATAGAGTAAAAGATGAAGGGGGTTCGAAATTCTTCTCTACAGAGTATGGATTTGTCTCCCCAAAAGCTCTCAATCTAATCTCTCTCTTAATCTCAATGATAATCAGAATAATGGCCTAACAATGGCTTAGAAAACCTAAATACAAGTCTAAACACGAACTGGGGCAAAAGTGCAAATAGTAGGAAACTTCTGGGCCAAGTTGCAATTTCTTCTAATGAGTTTTCACACTTTTTCGCGACCATGACCGGTGTCGATCGACACCAAGTGGTGGGTGTCGATCGATACCCTGCTCCGTAATGCCCTCCGGCTTGGTCTTTTCAGCATCAGCTTCAACATAGCTCCAAAAGGTTCCAAAATCCACAGTTATGCTCCAAACGTACCTAGAACTGCAAAGACTCTATAGGACTCGAAAAACACCGAAAAGACTCTATAAACAAGACTTATATCATAGTCAAAAAACCAGTAAAAACTATGATATATCAACTCCCCCAGACTTAGCTTTTGCTTGCCCTCAAGCAAACATCAGACAAGGCCTAAGGTCGAGGTTTGAAAACACAGAAAAAGTCAGCCAGACATCAGGAACACCACATTGATTAACATTTTCAAAACCACATACTACAGAGTCAACACAAGATCAAATTTCAGTCTAATCATCACAGGCTTAGCAAATCTTTCAAATCCAGTTCAAACTCCTTCAAGAAATCCGAAATCTCTACTGCTAAACTCCTTATTTCTATCTAAGTG